TATATTCCATTGCTCAAGAATTTTAAGGAACATACTTAATTTTCTTGGCAAGAGCTAGTTAGGCCTAATGGTTCAAGCCAGCAATCCTTATTATTGGGGAGACTGAGGCTGGTGGATCTCTTGAGTTCAGGAATTCTGAGCTGTGTAGAGGGGCTAAAGCCAATAAGTGTATGCACTAAGTTCAGCACCAGTATGGTGAGTGCCCAGGAGCAAAAGGCTAGTAGGCTGCCTAAGGAGGAGTGGATAGGCCCACATCAGAAATGGAGCCAGTCAAAGCTTCCACACAGATCAGCACTGGGACCATGCCTGTAAGTGGCCACTTCATTTCCGGACTGAGTGAGATAGGGATCCTCAGCCTCTTAATTAAAAAAAAAAAAACAACACAAGGTAAGACAATATTTCCTGCTGTTGCCCCCTTCTCCTTTGGAGTAAGGTTAGTGCCCAACTATTTTTTCCCCATGGTGGAGCCAAAGTATGCAATATGAAAAAGCAAAATCTAAATTCCAGCTTATGCTTAGCTCAATATACATGCCTCTTCAGGACAGCTAATATGATGTGTGGTTACTTTGACATTCTGCTGGAAAGTCCAGTGTGACATGTACTTGTCATTTTCCCATTTAAACCATCTGGCCATTGAGCTATGTGAAACACTTTACAAAGGAAATTACCCAAACTAGTCTCCAAGGACAGACTGAGGAATGGAAAAAGTACATTTGCGTGTCATCTGCAAATGGAGATGGTAGTTGAACCAGTAAAGCCGGAAGAAATCATCCCAGGATCTTAGCATACAGAAGTATCCACCCCTGTGTTCTCATAGGGTCCCAGAACCCTATGAGAAGAGAAAGATGAGAATAGGACAATTAGAGCGGTATTGGTTTGGGCTGAATATCTCTTCTCTGTAACCACATCAGAACAGATGTGAAAAGTCATGGGATAATTGGAAAGGACTTTTTGACCTTTCTGGCCCCAAAGGTCAACTCTAACTATCCCTTGCACATTTTTTCTCTCCTTATCTCTTACATCTTTGAGGAGCAGTCTTTGGATTGGTGTTCTAATCTGGAAGCTTCAAGTCTGTACCCACGGTTTGTCACTATTAAACAGCAACAAATAGAACCTGGGACCTCATGAGGTAGAAAAGCTTCACAGTCCCCTCAGATAGAAGCAGAATTTTGTTCTTGATTTTGTTTTGAAAAGGGAAGGAGAATATCTAGATTGGCTTCTTCTTCCAACAGAAAGAAGAACTAAAGATGAGAAAACCATTGCCTACAGTCAAGTCCAGATAATCAATGTATTTCAGCTTCCTCACCTGGGGAAGGAATGGAGATTTCTCTCCCTTTCCCCAATTTCAGAAAATCTTATTTGGTTGATATACATTCTAATTGTTATTTTGGGTGTTGGGTTGTAAGGAGGATTGGGTGAGGACATAATATATCTGTTTTTCCCTATGTTTGGTGGACAGCTAAGTGGCACAGTAGATAGAGCACCAAGCCTGGAATCAGGAAGACTCATCTTCCTGAGCAAATCCTCAGACATTTCCCAGCTGTGTGACCCTGGGCAAGTCATTTAACCCTATTTGCCTCCATTTCCTCATCTGTAAAATGAGCCGGAGAAGGAAATGGCAAACCATTCCAGTATTTTTTGCCAAGGAAACCCCAAATGGGGTCACAAAGAGTCAGATACAACTAAAAATGACTAAACAACAACAAACAAAAAATTTAGTGGTATGTTTTATAGAAAATTAACAGTTTTCTTGCCATTTCACTAATCAAGCCCATTTAGTAGCCAATGCATCGTTGAGTAGCATTGACAAATTATAATGATATCTTAGTTGGACAACCTCAAAACACGACACATTTCCATAACTTTAAACCTTTACCCACCCAGATTGCTATTTCTACTTGATGCAACGGGCATTAGAATGCAGTATTATGTAGGTGGTAGAAGACAGCACAGACAGCCATTAAACTGTTCACAGTTGACAGAGTATGTTTAAATCAGATGCTTAATGTATGCATGGAAACTGTAACTCTAGTAGACTTGGGAAAAATACAAACTTCTAAAAGCTCAGTACACACATGGCCCTCTCTTGGGATTTGATTGGGAATCTCCTTCTGTAACACAGTCTTTTTTTAAAGCTTTATACAAACATAATGTTTTATTCTTAAAGCTCCTTCATAGCTAATTCATGAGTTATTTCTCTTCCAGCTAAGAACCCTGGATGTGATCTTTGTCACCTTAAATAACACTGTCAAACTAGACCCTAACGTTCTTTAGAAAAACTCACTTAATATTGTGTTCACAGAAACTTAGGCATTGAAAAAAGAAGTAAAAAGAAAGCACCTTAGAATCCTAGAATAGAATGTTAGAGCTGAAGTGATTCTTGGAGCTCACCTAGTCCAGTGTCCTCAGTTTACCTACATGAAGAAGCTGAAGCTTTAAGATAACATGAGGTACTAGTTAGTGGCAGAGCTAGCGTGAAAACTGGGGTTCCTTCTGTCCTTATCTTTCACATCATGTTGCCTTCCCTGTTTCCCTGTCTTGATAGACACATGGGCAGTTGAAGTATTTTATTCTTTGTGTTACAATTCCATACACTTGTGAACAGTTTTGTAAATTGCTCTTATCATTTCAATGTGCTGTTGCTGTTGTTCAATCATTTCAGTCAAGTCTGACTCTTTGTGACCCCATTTGGGGTTTTCTTGGCAAAAAAACACCAGAATGGTTTGCTTTGCTTCTCCAGGTCATCTTACAAATGAGGAAACTGAGGCAAACAGGGTGAAGTGATTTGCCCAGGGTCATACAGCTAGGAAGTGTCTCAGGCTGGATTTGAACTCATGTCTTCCTGACTCCAGGCCTGGTCCCCTATCTACTGCACCATCTAGCTGCCTTATGTCAGTGTATAGGAATGAGCAAATATGGTTGCCTTATTATTTCTCTAGAAGCTTTGTTTGACACGTCTACTAACCACTTAATTGCGTACAACTCACCTTTGCATTTTTACACAGACTCATGGTGGTTGTTTGGGTTTGTGTAAGAAGCTCTCAAATGCTCAAGGCCTTTGTGGAGAGGGGAAAGGATCCGGTTTTACTGAGACATTGAGAGATTGGTGGGAGGTCGGGTGTAGGGGAGACGCTCGGTGGATTCCCATTTTCTTTTTCTCTGGCTATTTTCCTTCTCACTTGACACAGATGCAAATGGGAAGGCCACATTGGAAATTGAAAGCTAGGTAACAGAAGCATAATTCAGCTTTTAGATCTGCTTTTGTCTATGTTTCCTTTTGAAGGCTCTGTTGCGACGTCTAGCTTTTCTTTTAAAAATGTGGTCTCTAGCTGTATGATAAATACTGATCAGAATAGACTTGCCAGTCTTCTTTTTTGTAAACCAACATTCTCCTTCCCCTCCTCTAAGCTCCATTTTCCTATGAAGCTAGTGGTTTAGTTCCTTCCCCAACAACCACTGCTCTTCTTTCTGTTCTGTTCTGTTCCAGGCCCAAATCACTGTCCATCTGCAGTTCCTGTCCCAAATGTAAGGTCTCAAATATTAAATGAGTGAATCGACCGTATTATCAGCAGGTCAATAGGCATTTTTCATCCTTTAGTTTTTCTTGTGTGAATTGTTAAGTTGATCTCATTTTTGAATGATCATAGATCTCGTGAAGGAGGAGCCATCATGTTCTGAGGCTTGATGTAATCAGTTCAATATCAACTGCAAATAAAAGCACCTTGAAGACCCCACCATCTTTTGGAGAACCCCTTTGCCATTAGAATCTTGCAGAAGACAACTGCCATGACAGTGGTGGTAAACATATATTGACAAGTATTCATCTCGGAGTGAGATGATGTGCCCAAAGTTAGACAGGAAGTAAATGGTCAGAAGTGGGATTTGAAAACAAGTCCTCTGATACCTGAAACAATATGCTTTCTATTTTACTAGGTATATAAATAAATCAGACTCTTAAAGATTTTTTTAAGATGAAAAAGTAGGCACATGGATTACTAGGTAATGATCTCTCAATGGACTGTTTGGGGGGTAATAATATCATCATTGACTTACCCTATTCCATTCATTTCTCCTCTTCCCTGAGATATCTTGTAAAACAATTGCTCTATTATTTAGAGGTAATTCTCACATTTCCTTGGCATGTCCTTGATCAGATCTAGCTGCTATTTCTAACCTTATCTTCACTAGTTCCATTTCTACTTCTTCTTGTGACATTTTGGGGCCTGAGGTATTAGAGTCCAAACGTGGGAGCTCTTCTGTCATTGATGATGAAAATGGTTACAGAAGCCTTGACAAATGCATTATGTTTAATATCCGTTATCATTTAAGGTTCCTCTATATATGTAGTTGGCGTCGTGTGGTTTAACTGAGTCTCATGCTGAGCTTTCTTTAGATGCTTCTCTTTCATTTTTTTATTAATTTATTTTGATTTATTCTCTTTCATTTTTATTGTATCTTGCTGTTTTATACAGTTGTTTTTTCTCCTTCCCTTCCAATGTTCTTCTCTGTAGTGTTCTACAGATTTGTTTGTGTTCTGAACTGGTGTTACCTTTGGCTGCCATCTCTGTTTGTTTAACAGAGATTAACCATTTGTTGGCTAATGTGCTTTCTTGAATCTCTTAGCTCCCTTGTGGCAACTGCTTTTTATCATTTAAATTTTTTTCACACATACCCATCCATTAGGAAATAGAAGGACACAAGTCTTAAGAAAACAGACCAGTATCAAAGTTTTGTCATCAAAGTTTCAAACACATTGTTTTCTTGTTTAAAAAGATAAAATTTTCACAGAAGTAAAAAAGAGGGAAATATAAAACTGAAATTAGACTCAGGTGGAAGTAATTGAAAAAGGCGTAAATGATACCATGCAATTATCTGCTTATGGGTTCAGATTAGTCTACTTTTTCCTTTTATTAGTATTTTAAATGGTTTGTTGTTGTTGTTTTGTTTTTAGCATGTAACTAAACAGTATGTATTTTTTTTCCTATTTTCCCCCTCCAAAAGGCTGCAATTGAGCTCGGGTTGACTGACCCTGCTTTAAAGGATCCAAATATAATTACTATCCGGACTTACCCTCTGGTAAGAAAGCAAAAAATTCTGAAAACTTTTGTTTGTTTGTTTGTTTGTTTGTTTTTACTTCCTAGAAACCTTTGGTGAATTTGCATGTGAGATTCTAAAGCCCTACATCTCATTTCATGCTTGGAAAGGCCCTCAAATTTCACGTGGGCCCATATTTTGTGCCATTTCATTACTTATAGCATGACATTGTCTATATGGATAAGAGACTAAATGAGTGATATGACTCTACCGGGTGACATTTCACAAGAAATGATGGGATCGTTAATAGATTATAACCAAGCTTCATTGTAAAGTCTGGAAGGCCCACTGTGACATCATTCAACCCATAGAACCCATTTATGACATCGTAGCATCAATTAATGACTTTACATGAGGGTGTGCTTTGTATAATTGTCTTTGGTATGAAGAAATTCGATGATGCTAGCACTCCTTAGTATCTCACGGGAAGAAATCCTATTAGTCCCTTAGTCCATTTGATTCTGGGGAGATGAAAGTAGAAGGCAGGACAGGATGAAGTATGTGCTGGGTCTTTGGCCCACTGAAATGGTCTGAGGAAGGCGAGGTCAAGGAGAAATTTAAGACAAAGTTGGCTTTTGGTATTCTCATATCTAATAAGGAGCCAGTGTTTTCACATTGCTCTCTGACAAGAGCTCTACAGTTTGACACCTTGCCTTCCCTGGGCAGTGCTCTTGTTCTCTGAAATGATGCCATCCCCATAAAATCTGCATCATTAGGGCAGCCTCCAGATATGGATCCGACCTGGGGTTTCATTGGCTTAGGGAACTCATGAGGGACACCCGCTCTACCAATGCCTTACAACCACCTTACAACCAGGTGTTCTTGGCTTCAAGCCTAGTTCCTTATCCCTTAGGCCACATGACTTCCCTTTAGAAGGGGAATGTCCACAGCCAAATATCATGTAGAGCTCCTTTGCCTGCTGAGTTTGCTGATCCTGAAAATGACCATTGTCATCATAGCCCAATAGCGATCAAAGATAAAAGTGATGGAATAACTGTTCTGGACACAATGCAAAGTAATAAAAGTCATTGGGAAGTGTTACTAATGTATGTGTGTATTGCAAATACACATTTATTGAGATACATTTGTTCTAAGCCATTGCTGGTAGTCTTTACTGTTAACTAACAACAAAATATACTTTTCCATTGTTTTTCTTGAAAAGCATTTGATGCCGTCTGCTCGACCACGTACTCCAGTTATTCAGGAGACAGCTGTGGATATCTGGACTTCTGCTCAGGTATGGGAAAGAATTAGTAAATGAGAAATATTCACTATATTTGTTGTAATGACTTCCTGCCAAGGTTATTTGTATTTCAAAAGGATAACTTATTAGTGGAAGAAATAGATAATTTAATGATGGAATTTAGGTCAATACTTTTTGGGGTTCCCAACATCTCTCATCCTGTACAATAGAGATAGCTACCTACTTTACCCACATGTAAGTCAGGCCCCGGGTCAAAAAGCCCGAGAATGACTCTTCAAAAGGATGCTTTGATCTACAGTCCAGATTACTTTGAACTTTATTGCTTGAATCTCGCTCCAAGCAGAGCTGCTGTTTATAATAGGCTGAGTTCAGTGAAATCAAATGTTGATTAATGACGGTAGGCACCCATCTAAATAAGTAACAATTTCAAATGACAGAAAGTTTGTAAAGCAATACAGTTTGATTACTTTCAAGTATAAACCACAACTCAAACTAGGCTAGTCATATCCTTTCTTTCATGTAACCTATAGCTTCATAGTAGCTCTTAGGGAGCCTTTTTTTTTTTTCGGGGCAATCGGGGTTGAGTGACTTGCCCAGAGTCACACAGCTAGTTAAGTGTCAAGTGTTTGAATCTGGATTTGAACTCAGGTCCTCCTGAATTCGGGGCCACTGCACTATCCATTGTGCTGCCTAGCTGTCCCAGGGAGCCTTTTAAAAGGTCTCTGGTCTCTGTTCTCTGTAACTAGTTAGCTCAGTTGAGTAGACTATCTGGTTAATGAAGCGAAGTTTTGATACCCATTTAGTCTAGCCAATTTCACTCTTTCATAGACAGATTGTGTGTCTAAACCTCTAACTAGTTACTTGGAGATGTATGTTATTAGTTACAGGAGGGCTCAAGAAAGAGTGAATAAATGGATTCTACTGGGCAGCTAAGTAGCACACGGGATAGAGTGTCAGGCCAGAGTCAGGAAGATATGAGTTCATATCTAGCTTCACTGAATAGCTACGTGACCCTGGGCAAGTCACTTAACCTCTATTTGCCTTGGTTTCCTCATCTGTAAAATGGGCATGAAAATAATAGCATCTACTTCCCAGGGTTGTTGGGGGAGGATCAAATGAGATAATAATTGTAAGGCACTTAGCACAGTGCCTGGCACATAGTAAGTGCTATATAAATGTTGGTCATTATTAATACTGTTACAGAACAGTGGGTCAGTAGTACCCTAATTGTATATTATTATTTTGATGAATGCTCTTGATGTATGTGAGGGGGCTTTGTCTTCTTAAGTATTTTAAAGTATTCCCTTTAGAACATTTCTGTAATATGACATGATTCATTTAAAAAGAAAGGGCTTGCTAAGCAAAATTAGATTTCAGAAGAGCCTTTTTCCAAAAGATCAAAATGTGGAATTACTGAATTCTCAGTTAATTAAGTTTTACTGGACTCCCCATACTAAGTCAGACATTTTACTTACAGGTCATTTCTGATTCAGGACCTAAGAAAAATCATTAGGGATCTGTTCTGAGGTGCGAACAAACTAACATTTTCAACTAAATCAATATCCACAAAGGCCTCTCAGAAAATTGCAGACTGATTCCTGACATATAAGACTCTCTTGAAGTAATGAGTACAATTGCTTTCAAGAGGCCTCATGACATCGCCTATTCCTCCCAAGGTCCAGTAGTTTGACCTACCCAAGTAAAGCCTGCTCTCTTGGACTGATAAATAGAAGTAGATTAGTGCCAGGGATACCAAAATACCTCCGGGATGGGAAATATTTAATCTTGATGATTCGTGTAAGATAACACCATCCGCTCAATTGAGTTCTGACAAATTAGTTTATTTTTCATATCCCTTTACCTATATTAGATCGGTTCTGGAAACATTAGCCTTTTGTCTATCTCGAGTGGTTTCTGCCTGAGATCCCTTTATTTGTTCATTTTTCCCAGTACCTGGAAGCTTTTGTTGTCTATGGACTTTGTCCTGATCTAAGTTATCCCCTCATGTATAATTGTAGAGTTTAGGAGACACCCTATCGTAATGCTACTTTGCACAGGAATGGGGGGAAAAAGACTTTTCAACTAAGTGTATGTCATATACTATGCTACCTTTACATAATCAAATGTATCCTCCCTGTCTCCAAGCCACTTTTGAAGTTAATGCTGGATTATTTAGAAAATATATTATTAACTAGATACCAAAAGATCCATTTTGGGTATGAAAACAACACAATTAGACTAGGCAAAATTGCTGATGTGATGAAGGTTTCTGAAAATTTTATTAGCTTTCAATTTTCCTATGAACATATTTGAGTCCATTCCTAACCCTTCTTTCTTGACATTTAGAGAAAAGTTATGACTCATGTAATAGGGAAGGGTTTGGGGGTTTGTACGAGCAGTGATAGAAATGGTGCCCCCATAGAGTTCCAAGATATCTGTTTAACTGTATGGAAGTAAAGTGGGGAACATGAAAGCATAGGTCAGCTATTCTTTGAGTGGAGAAAATCAATATGAATGTGTCCATTTCCTAAGAGAAAGATCAGCAATTTTGCTAAGATCCTTAGAAAATGTTTTAGTAGTACAACTGGAAATAAAAATTGGGAGTTCCAAGTCAGCTTTTTATTACCAGTATGAATTTCATCAACCAAAGAAGATAGATCAGAGTACACTTCCAATGCACAAAGGCCAGGAAGCCCATAAACATTCACCAGAGCTAACACTCCCACATCTGTACAGTAACAAGAGGACAGACAGACATGGTCAAAAATGGCAGGTTGGCCCATTTTATACATGCTACCTAGTATAAATTGGTGTACATTTTCTTTCTCATTGCATGAAGAGTGTAGCATTCCATGATGGCTTTGCCACTGTCAGCTTTCAAAGTTCCATGCTTGGCCAGATCCAGGGTTCCAGAAATCATAGTCCAGAGACCATATGGATGTCAGTGATAACATGTTTATTACCAGAAATCCCTCGCCTCAAGGTTGAGGGTACCCTCAGGAAGGGTCTGATTCCCACATAGTTGTGGCTTCAGGAGGGACAGCCAAGATTTCCACACTTGCCAAATTCATGCGCTCTAGCATTTACTTTTAGGCAAGTCTCTCTCCCCACTGGTGCCCCTTCCCAGAAGTGTGCCCCTGAGGGTGTTTACCTGAATGTGAATGCAGTGTATAGTCTATCCTGACTAGACAAAAACAAGGCAGAGTTCCATGCACATATCCTTACTATTTTAACCAAAAAACGTGAGAACTCATACCTAAGGGTACACACTCCCGCAGAGCTAAGGGTAGAGCGAAGGGTAGCTCTCTCCTAAGAGAAGCATATGTAAGAATCATATGAGGCTTGCTTATCTAACATTCCAGAAAGAATGTGTAGAGATGTATAAGGGCTTTACATAAAACCCAAATTAGCCATAAAAAGCAGTGGGATCCAAAAAAGTATATTCCCCAATAGAGCTGCTCTCTTTTCTTTATATAATAACTTTTTTCCACTGCTACATTCCAAAAAAAATGGATGTGGTCATTGAGCAGAAACACACTGTGCCAAAAGCATTAAAATAAGACAGCAATTGGCTGCTTGGGGTCTTTTCCCACTTTCCCACAACCTAACCTGCAACTCCATGATAACACCCCGATGGAATTCAGAATCTGAGTACAGGCAAAATCATAGTTTTTGCTGATACTCATGAATTATTCATGTTTACAATGCTTACGTGGGCATCTGTGGTTCAAGATTGTGTCTTGCTGCAATGAGAAGTAAAGAGCATACGATACATAATGGACAATTCCTAGACCTTAGTTATATATGAGTTTCTTTTCCAATAAGAAATATCCCAGGAAGCTCTATGAAGTCTTGACTTAAACAGAAATTGTTTGTCTGTTATTGTGCAATAGAGAGCCACTGTAGTTTACTGAGTAGGGGAGTCACAGGGTCACACCTTCCCTTTGGGAAAATGACTTTGACAGTTGTGTGGAAGATGGATTGTAGTGGTGAGAGACAAAGCAAGGAGATAGATTAGAAGGCCATTGCTAGAGTCCAGGTAAGAGGTGAATTTGGGCCTGAACTAAAGTGGTGGCTAGAAGTGGTAAAAAGAGGTAGAAACCAAACATTCTAGTATTTTGGAATAGTAGCAAATAACATGATTGATTCAGTATTTTAATTGAAAAGATGTTAGTGTAGCACTTCCTATCATAAAATCTCCTATTGTCTCTCCTGTTTCCCCCTAAGAAATTCACAGTTTGGCTAATCAATTTTTTTTACCAAGTAAATAAACTCAAAATCTGAAGTGACCTCCAGTTGCCAGCAGGGGGGCTCACAACACTCTGAGACTGCTTATGAATAAAGCAACCCTAGGCAGAGGTTGCTTGCCCAGAATTGGAGTCTCTGTTCACCAGCGAAGAAGGACAATGATATTGAGATAACTGGAGAAGCCCTCTCTTTTGATTACATGAGCCAATATGCAAGTGTCCTTAAGCAGCATTTTGAATTTCGACACATGCATGTCCACTAAATGGGACCATTTCTAGTCTTTAGCAGTAGTGGTTTCTTCATAAGATTCCTCAGGTTAAGGAAACCACATGATTACTTTCAAAGTATTGATGACCATTAATCTTCTCCAGGTGCCAGCCTCAGTCTTCCCATCAGATGGTGTCCTGGAAAGTGCTTTTAAGCGCCACAGTTACATACAGAGAAAAGCCCCATTCTGTCCCAAGTACTTCATAATTCATGCATCTACAAAGTGCTGAGCACTTAGCTTTTGACTGAAAGATCAGGATGTGGTTTTTGTGTTATGTTTGCACTGTGTGATATGGAAAAGTCAGATTTTCCAAAGCTTCAGCATGGAAGTCCTTGGTGGAGAATATTTTTGGGGATCCTTTGGGAACAGAAGACACTGGACATGGGGAAGATGGAGGGAAGTGGGAATGTTGAGTAGCTAGGCCTAGTGACATATTGCCATAATAAAGGCAAAATCCTTTAGGTAACAAGGTAAAAATGGGACCTTCAAGCACCAAAATTTTCATGGGGGAGTTAAG